CACTTCTTTGCTTTCTTTATGCATTTTTATGCATTTTGCAATCTTTCGCTCCTCCAAAATGAGTCAAGGAATAACTAGCAAGCATGCTCGAGTCCCCCTTGTTGCCCCCTCAATGGACATGAGATGAGATTCACCGAAAGCGTCGACACTTGGAAACTTTTGAGGTCGCTCCCACAAGAGTACTCCGAGAGAGCATCCTAAAGCAGGTAGGACTCTAGGAAGGGTCCAAGTGATGGAGACCTCCCTTCCATGGATGATTTTGGCTCCTTAAAGAATGTCACCTTGCCCAACGATCTAGGCTCACCAAAGGGAAATTGAATGGGGACGTTTAGGGTGGAATGGTTTTGGACGTGAGAATGGTGATGGTTTACGCGGAATGTTTGGTAGCTCAAGGTGGGTTGGCTCACTCCAAAATGAAGATGGAGGCCACTCTAGGTTTCTCACTCTCCAATGGTGGAGATAGGAGAAGGTTAGCCAAAGATAACCTAGTGACTAAGGAAGAGATGTTGAGGCAAAAATGCTCACTCAATATCATATAATCCAAAGTATTTACAAGATGTGGTGCATTGGATATTTATAGGAGTGAGAGGCATCTAGGGTTGTATTTAGGGTGCCTTGGCCGAAATTCACCTTGCCAAATGCACACCAAATGAAACCTAAATTAACCCTAGATGCAACTTGGTGGCCAAGGATGGAATCTTTGGGTTTAGTTAGACTACATCTAGGTGCATGATAAGGCCATGCAACCTTTGCCCTCCACTTGGGCCTAAGCCTTTCTAAGTCCAAAAATAGGTCCAAACTACCAAAAATGCGTCACCCTCCTAATTAAAACCCTAGCCCAAAAATTAAAACCCTATTTATCTAAAGCACCCCATAATACAAAAGAAAATAAGTCTTATGACTAAGATACCCCAAAATACAAGGGTAAAATTGGAATAAAGCAATAAAATTCTATATGACTCAAATTGGGCCTAGGAGATGGATTCATACATGATATCTCTTTTATCTTCCTCCATTCTCCTAGCCATGAACCATGTGATGGGTCTCACATGAAGCACCAAGGATGGTCCTCCATCACCAAAAGCTCCTAATAAGCATTGGTTGGGAGTTCCTATTAAGTATCTCTAGGTTGCCATATCGTGGGGCTACGATAGAGTTCTTGGCATCTTCAGTACAACATTCTATGAGGTCCTTCATGACCCGAACATTCCCATGATGTCCTTCTAGATGAATGTGAATTAATCACTGGTCTATGACCTTGGTAAACTTCAACTGGTTCGTCAATTTCAGGACGCCATCTTGGCTAGGCAACTAGAGTCTTTGGTGAACGCCATGTGGTAGGAGCTCACAAGAGACACTGTCATGCCAAGGATGGCCAAGGCCTCGAAGCTTAGGGACGCAGCTCTACAAGTGGTCCATAAGCTATGATGGGCTCTATCCACGAACTCTCAGAGAGTATCGAGTCAATGACCCACAGGGGCCTCTTTCCTCTCTACTACATGGTTTAGGGTATACAATGCAACCCTGGATCATTCTTCCTGTAGCACGTGCACGACTTTGACGGTCGAGAGGGTACCATTGCTCACACTGGTTACATTGTAGTGAGGTCTCTACTCACCTAGTTGGCATAACACTATGCAGTCACTAGGGACGAAGACTTTAGACCATTTTTGTGACCCATCGATGCTTCCACCTTGAGGAGCATGGGGATCATCGAGAGCACAACAGACCACTATGTTCTTGTACGAGGATTCACCTTGGAGGGCTTTGATGATTAGCCAAGACAACAACAAGGAGAGCATCGACCAACTGTGCAAAAGGTTAAACTCAAAACATAATCAAATCATCGACCTGGAGAGGTTGTAAGTAGTACTCAAATCCACAACTTAGGCCGTTGGAGCCTTAATACCAGTCCAGTCTAGAGAGGTTGAGCTCAGAACATAATCAAATCATCGACCTGGAGAGGTTGTAAGCAGTACTCAAATTCATGACTTAGGTCGATTAGAGCCTTAATACCAGTCTAACTTAGAGAGGCTGAGCTTAGAACATACTTAAACCACCAGCCTGGAAAAGTTGTAGAGAATTTTCACCAGCTTGGAAAGACTACAAAAAAATACTCATCCCAAGGATGGTTAGAGCCTCAATACCAGTCCAGCATGGAGAGACTGGGCTTAGAAGGTACTTACTCCTCAGCACACTTGAAGAATCTCGACAAAGACAAACTCACAAGATGCTAGCAGACCCTATAAAGAGACGATAAAGGATGTCCGCACCTCCACTCATCCCCCATGGAGATAAGAAATAGAAGATTCAAACAAAATGTCTACGTCTTTACTTGCCTTTAGAAAACGCAATCACGACATCTTGCTACCCAAAGGACAAGTAAAGAGTTATAAACACCAATTTTTGTTCAAGTCACCCCTACTAAGGTCAAGAGACCTCTAGAATGAGAAGAACAACCTTGAGGGCCTAGTAAGGCATGGAAACAGACCATGACGAAACCTGCGAGGCCTAGAAGACGCCATAACACACAAAACCTTAATTGTGGTGCATAACAGTCATTCCTAACCTTGGAACGGTTGTACCCAACTATAAAAATGAACTAGACCCTAGTTTTGGAACGTTCGTTCAACTAGGTATTTTGTATGCTTTTCTAAGGTGCGAAATAACCATTTTTGTGTTGGGAAGGACTGTTCCCCTTCCTTAAGCACCTATATAAGTGTGCCTAGGGCTCACTCTTCTAAACACCTATCAAATTTGACCCCCTCTCTCTGTAAATTTTTGAGTGACTGCGAGGCTTTTGTATAGCGAAAGGCTACCAAAACGTGCCCTTCTACGCATTTTTGAAGATTCTTCTGTAAAACGCTTGCTACAAAGGTTTTTATTCTCTCTCTTATTCCTCTTCCTTTTTATTTTCTTTATTCACAACCATATTCTTATGCACTAAATAAATAAATAATTATGTAGATAATAAGTGTTTAAATGGCTAAAAGGGGTAAAGATTTAATTATAATTATTATTATGCTAAATTTATCATAGGGTAACAAGTTAGGGCATTATAGGGTGTCTAATACCTTCCCCACACGTAATCGACCCCTGAACCTGATTCTGGCTATGTAGTTCATAATTAATTTTTTGAAAACTCTTTTCTTTTTTCGATGTTTTGAGTGAAATATCAGTGGTGACTCCTTCGAACCTTTTCAAAAAACCACTAGTGAAGGTTTAGTCCGGTCTTCAGGCATTCCAAAGTTGGTGAGATTTTCAAAATGAAGTCCAAACCATTTGTGTGTAAGATCAAAATTTTTCAGGTTCCAACAAGAGGTAAGGAACCTGATCTTCATCTTTTTCATGTCCAATGACGTTGGGAAGTTAGGGACCCCTCAATGTTATTATGTCCAATGTGATCCTGGTCACGCTCTACATCATCTTTAGGAAAACTGATGTCACACCATGCTAGGTGAGACACCCTTCACCCAATGCAGAGAAGTCAAGTACCTCACTTTGGTTCCCACGCACGATGTGGTCCTCTGCATGCCTAGTGCAAAAAACTACACTCTTCATGCTTGGCATGTTAAACGTGTGCCACTGTAGATTTTTCACTTCATAAAATTCTGAACCTTGTTATTTAAGGTCTCCAAAACCCATTCAAATCCATCAAATTGTTCATTCCCTCGGATCAATCACTGAAACATTCATATATCACTCATAAAACAAACATATAACATCAAATCACTCCAATTCATTAATTCTAGTCAAAACCCTCAATTCATACAAATCCCAACTCTCAAAGAGACAACATATAACACATCACAATTCTACATCTCCAACCACAAAATTTCACCATGATTATTTACAAAAATTATAACAATAGCAATTATACAGTAACATCAATCTTAGATCATTCATGTAGGCACCAATGGAATCCAACCAATAACTTAAGTGGCTTAGAGATCGTCCCACTACTCGTACCTTTCATATGTGCCCAAAAATGAAACATTCCTACTCTCTCTTAGGTGACGACTTCTGAGGCACTGACAAGTTTTTTCGTTGTCTCTATCATTACTTCATGTGCTCTTTGGTGTTTTCCTTTAGGATTTTCTTTGCAAACACTCTTAAGGTTCATAACAGACGTGTAAAATGATCTAACCCCTTTTTTCTTCTTATTTTTAAGAAGTCTCCAAGTTAGGTTCAAGAGTTTAATCCAAGACTCCTTTCAAATCTATCACCCATTCTCTTTGATTTTATTTATTAAAATATTTTTTTATTTATATTATAAATACAATTAAATAATTTAATTAAATGCATAATATAAATTTTATTTAAAGAACTTTATTTTATCTTTATTTTAAAAATCAGGGAATTACAATGATGATGATAACAAATGTATAAACAAAGATATTTTACATTAATAATGTAATAAATTAATCTTTAAAAACATGCAAGCATTTCAACTTTTGGGCACATAGACCAATTTGCATGAGATTGTTTTAAATTTCTAGTTTATCTAGTGGTTTTGAATTTGCCTCGAACAAAATTACATCTAAAAAAACATACATAAAAAATATTTATTTATTTCATATATCAAGCAATATTATATTTAATAGTTATAATATTTATTTAAAGAAAAAATATTGAAAATAAAATAAAATACAAAAACAATAATTATATTATATAATTCATATTTATTTTGATCACACAATTATTTATTTCAATCCGAAAAGTTGATTTTTTTTTTCTTTTCAACTAAATAAATAACAATTGTTTTCTTCTATTAACTTTCTTTCACATTTCTCTTATTCAAACTATTTAAAATTTTAAGTTTTTTTTAATAACTTTTCTATCTAAATTATTTTTCTTATTTCTTTCTTTATTTCCTAAATTTGTATCAAACCAAAGTGAGTGTTACAGTAGAATTATTTCTTATAATTTTTAATTCTAACAAAATCTAAATTTTAAATCGAAGGTACCTTCTAAATTCTGGTAGCTTCTCAAACCTTCTATGCATTTTTGGGGGCACCCACGTTGTCGTTTCATTGACATTTAGCAACACTAGAGATAAACCTAAGAGGGTTTAATCTCTTTTCCTCAATTCATTCTTGGCTGCCTAGTGCTGTTTTTTGGTCTCTTCTCTCTTATCCATCCATGGCATCTACATTTCTCACATTACCAACTTCCTTTCTACACAAAAACAATGCCATCTCTTTCTCTAACAAGAGACCCTCATGTATCTTCAATTCACCATAACCTTCGTTTGTGTTCACCAAATTCCATGTCTTATTCAAATTTTTAACCTTTTCTCATCTGGGTCTCATGCAGTTTTGCAGAGGAGCTCTCTGAAGATAACCGCAATTTCCAAAAAATGGGAACCCACTAAGGTTATTTATTTATTTATTTTGAAGAGGTTTTTGAAATTGGTTTTAGTCGTAGCCTACACCACCCCACTAATTCCCTTTTCATTACCCATACTTTAAACTGTAAAAAGTTCAATTTTTTGTGTGGCTAAGTTTTGATGATTTTGGGATGCAGGTTGTGCCTCAGGCTGATAGAGTTCTTATCCGTCTGGAGGAGCTATCAGATGTAAATACACTTATCCAAAAACCAATTTTTTTAACTTGGGCTATTGTTTATTCTTATTCTTATGCTATATCAGATTCCAACTATTGGTTATTCTCCCATTTTGTGCCTTAAGTATTGGAAATTTGGAATTGCTAGCAAATGTCCTAATGATTATGGTCCTTATCTTAATGCTGGGTGTTGGAATCGTTGTTAGGCTTTGTATGTATAGCTAACTTGCAGTTTGATGTGGTTTTGAGAAACCCGTTAAGATTGTGCCATGACATGATTTATGTATTTGTCAATGTATTTCAACAACAGCAACAATAATAGCCATCTCCAACTTTGTGTTCCATTGGTGGTGTGCTAATGTATTGGCAATGGAAAATTCCTTTGTATGTACTTCATATTGGTGCTACTTGTTGTGCACATGCAACGGCACATTAAAATATATTCTGAGATATCATCATACAATGTCCTCAGCTTGGTTTTCTGTTGTGTCGGTTTCAGTTAAAGTAAAAAGCATCCATGTTCACCCTAGTCAGATCCAGTGATGCTATGTAGTATAGGAATTGGTATTTAAATGTGCCATTATAAGTTGCTGTTTTTATGCACATGTGTAATAATGGCTAAACAAGTAAAGGAATTATATAAGCAGAAGGTATAGAGCATAAATATGTTCTAAAGCCTATTTAAGATACGCAGATGAAGTGCTGTGATGCCATGTAGCATAAGGGTGGCAATCTGTTTGTTATAATATATAGAGTTTCTGGTTGGTCTCTATATGGTGAGTGTTCTTCGGCCATAGGTTGCTATGAAAGGGTGGTTTGCCTAATATCCTGTAACACTTTCCATTAACATTATATTTTTGTATCTTACTGTACATGAAGCTTTTGAGAATGCTTTTCTGATGCTGAGAACTCTGCTTCGGGCCTAGTATAGTAGATGCTATTGTGCACTGCCTGTGACATATAAATATAGAGTGAAACTGACTAGGGATATGAAACAAAAGTTGAAGTGTATATCTTCTATATTCTTTTATAGTATAAGGGTGGGGAAGGGAACTTTTAGAGAGAGAGATGCAACACTTTTTTTTTTTTTTTTTT